CGCACAGAGGGTCCGAATAAATATACAGTCCAAATATTACAGTTCCGAATAAAAGAATAATACAGTCCAAATATTACAGTCCAAATAATATACAAATTCCTAATTAATTAACAAATTAACTAAGAAAGCTGTAAAACTGGCGTGCAAGCCAGGGACTGCCTTGCTTCTGATGAATGATGAATGATGTATGTTTGGGCTGCCTTGCGCGGAAATCCACTGGGATGCCCCAATTAGCCTCTGTTTTGCAATTATTCTTGGAAAGCATGCCAAGCTTCAGAAGGTTGCTAATTCTTGATTTGCTGCAACAGAGAGCAGGAAAGGGGCATAGCAATGTATTTTCACATATGTATGCATGTCTCGATCCTCGTGCCACCAATCACGCATCTCGATGCATGATGGCCTAGGGGTCGAATTGCACAACTCAATATGAAATGAATGCACATATGGACACAACAAGGCCTAGACTCCCTCATGGGTAATCCGGAGTGTCGGCGACTGGGGAATTGAGACACATTCCGTCACTCGGAGTACGAAACATACCTCGTTTCCCATGCCCGAGCTAACTCCTATCCCGAACACAATGCAATATGCATGACATGCGTGAAATGCAACTAAGATACAACCTAACATGAAACATGCTATGAAATGGCATACACGATGCACGAGATGACATGGCATACACAATGCGCTAACATACAACCTAACATACACAACGCTATGGAATGAAATGGCATACACAATGCGATAATGGACTTACACTAACACAAGTGGACCTCAGCTACACTCACATAAGAGGCCATACGATTAAAATGAGACAACTCGAGATGCGCGCACGCATGCACGCAAACCGAGGACCGACCCTAAGGTACAAAATACCACTCTAACAAGACATGGCAAAACATGGAATATGACATACTAGCATGAAAATTTCAGCAGCAAAAAGTGATGTAAAACAGCCCCGAAACATGAAAGCATAGCACTCGAAGCATGGAATGAGAACCGAAATGCAAAACTAGGTATATGCATTGGCCTATAGCTATACAAAACATGCATTATTTGAACATGAAGTATGAAGACAAAAGCAAGACAGTCCCAAAAAAAGCATGTTTATAGTTTTAAGTAAGGCCAAACAGTGAACACAAATGGGGCTAAGCTAGCATGCAAAAATGGCCCTAAGTGTGAGATAAAGAAGCAAGTCACAGCTCCTGACCCCAAACAAGAGAGGGCCCTTCAACAATGTTGAAGATGGACCCAAAACATGGCATTTTACAGTTTATGATCAGACCCAAAACAGTGCACAAGCATGCTCAAAATACTATGCAAAACAAGGCCAAAAAGAGAGGTATAACACAAAGTACAAAAAGGATGCCTCAAACAATAAAAGACCCTTGATGAAACATGAAGAGGGGGTCAAAATAAGGCCATATACAGTTCGGACCAAAGCCTAAAAACAGAAGCACAAGAGGCTAACAAATCATGCAAAAATGGAGCCAAAAGAGAGATATAAAGGCAAGTGGCAAATGAGAGCCTCCAACAGTGATGAGCCCTTCAACAATGTTGAAGAAGGGCTCAAAATAAGCTATTTCACAGTTTAGCTCGGAGCCCAGAAATTCTTAAAAACAGGGCTAACATATCATGCAAGAATAGGCCCTAAAAGAGAGGTAAAGAACAAAGGGGGAGAAGAAGACTTCAAACAGAAAAAAGTTCTTAATCAAACATGAAGATGATCTCAAAATATGATCTTTTTCAGTTTGGATCGACGTCCAAAAATACTTGCAAGTAAATCTAAACAATCATGCAAAAAAGTGCAAGTTTAAGGGAAATAGGGACTCACCCTTGAAGAACAACTTTCCAGCAGCTTTTAGTCTGAAAATCTGAGCTTTCAACCTCTTCAAATGTCCTCCAAGGTACTAAAATGAGTAATGGAGGTGATAGGCTAGGGGTTGTAGTGTAAAAATGGTCCAAGAACAAAGGGTTTTGGAGTCTTGAAGAGAGGGAGAGGGAGGTTGTGTGTATAATGCTTCAAATAATTTTCTAAACCCTCAAACACAGCTGGGAGCTGTTGGTTTTATAAGCAAAGAGGTGGAAAGAGGGGGAAAATGGGGGGGGGGGGGGAATTGAAATTCAATTTCCTCCAAAAAGGCCAAAAGTGGGATATAAAGGCAAGTGATAGCTGCTGGACCAAATGGCCGAGAGCCCTTCACAAGTTGAAGAGGGGCTCAAAACAAGACACTTTGTAGTTTATGACCAAGTCCAAAACAGCTCACAAGTAAGCCTAAACCGTGCAAAAAAAGGCTAAAAGAGGGTAAAGAAGCAAGTGGCAATAGGAGATCTCAAATAGAAAAGGTCCTTAATCAAACATGAAAAGGACCTCAAAATATACACTAACTCAAGTTTAGGTCGGAGCCAAAAAATGCAGAATGAAGGTTCGGGAGCCAAAACACGCAGTTTAGGGCCCGAAAGTGGGCTGTTAGGCACCGGAGTTTGTGTCCGACCACAAAGTTGGTCTCTCGGACCGCAGTGCCCTCAAAAGGGAGTAAATAAGATGCATCGCCAAAATTGGAGCAAACGGAGGTGGTTAAGCGGTCTCGAACCGAGGCACACGGCCAACGGCTCCGAAAAATCGGAAACCGGACTCTAAACGGGCAAAACGGCCTACGACCACGAAACGTAGCCTACGGCCACTGAGAGATGATCTACGAGACCTCTCTCTCCCTTCGGGAAGAGAAAACAGAGAAAACGGAGCCTAGTTCGCAAACCGAGGCAAAACACAAAAGAGTCCGGAAGTCCAGAGGCAAGGCTCGCAGCCGAGATTCTGAAACTTCTGAACGAGCACAATATGCAATATCATCGAGCGCTCAACTGGTGACGTCTGAGTCTCAAGGTTAGTCAAAAATGGGGTGTCTACAGATTGTTGAACAGTGGGAACCGAAATGTTAGTTAGGTTAGATAAAAGTGTATATCCTACCAAATAGATTAAATGAATAACATAAAGTTAATGACTAATTGAAAAAAATGTGGAAAATATTTCGGAAAACAAAATAAAACAAAACCCCAGTTTGTTAACGGAAAAATTAAATCATATGGCAGACCATCTATAATGGCTCTTTGCATGTCTTCCTATTGTGATTGCCCAATTTTCCGCAATGACCACAACGTATATGTTGCACTACCTCGCCCTTGGACGGAATTCTCTTCCGTTTGGGCCGACCGAGAGGACGCTTGCTCGTTGGCGGTGCTATCAAACATTCAGTTGGGTTAAGCATCGGCCTCTCCACTGTTGGGATGGGGTATATAGTTCCGCTGTAAATAGCTCGAAATGTATCAATGGAGAATGCAGAGTCTATTGAATCGTAGATGTTTCTCCCACTATTACGGAATGCAACGACAGCATGGGAACACGGGAACCCGTTTATTCGCCACTGAAAACAGAAACATGTCTACTTGACGACATCAACCAACACCGATGGATGGGAGTGAACCTCGTACACATCATCATTAGCTTGGCTCACACACCAGGCCCTGCTGTCATTATACACTGCCACCAATTTTTTCTCCATTTTCAGGCAAATTACACTGGCCCATTTAGTGCATTTAACTTGGCGATCCGACATCTGCTCCATTATTTGACCCCTTATCATATCGACCAATCTAGTGATAGGAAGACGCCGGGCCTCGCCGACCCAATTGTTGAAAGATTCAGTAGCGTTTGAGCACATCTCCCCATACCGTCGTCCCCTAAAAAAAAACAAAATCAACGTTTAGGGAGCATAAATTATAATGACAAAAATAAACATACTACAAAAAAACATGTAAGAATTTAAAATATGCCATAACCCATTAAGCGGACCCGTGAAAGTACCTGAAATATGCATTAGACTAGTGTTTTGGATGCATGTCTTTCATAAAATCTTCAATCATAGCTGGGTTGGCCTTATTCAATACCTCTAATTTCTCATTAAAACAAGTAACAGTGGGCGCATAGGCACATTTTTGCAACTTCCGTATTAACCCAATTTTGTGCGATGCATTAACATATTTCATTCGATCCCGCAAGTTCATTTGAAGATGCAACAAACAATATGCATGATGCGCTGAAGGGAAAATAATTGGCATAGAGTGTAATAGTCCGACGTGGCGGTCAGATATGAAAGTTAATGTCCGCCCGCCCCCAACAACTTCTTTCAAATTACGAAGAAACCATTCCCAATTGGTTGAATTCTCGGAATCAACAATAGCAAAAGCTACCGGAAACAATCCTACGGAGAAACAGGCAACATAAAAAGTTTGACATGAGTAAAGTTATACAACCATCCACACAAAATAAATTGCGACACATTTTGGAAAATAAAAATTTATAAGCCTACCATTATGTCTTACATTACTGTTCAATTTAATTTGAGGAGACCCTATTTCAATGTTGTTATATTTTTTTCTTCGTTAAAGAAAAAAAACATTTCTGACGAATGAAAAATGGAAGTAACTGTTTACTAGTACGTGTAGAAAATATAGAATAATGGAATAATATAACACACCATTACCTTGATTGGCCTTTTTAGCAGTAGCTGCAAGCAAATTACCTTTAAATCTACCTTTCAAAAACGTTCCATCCAAAAATAGAAGAGGACGACAATGATTGAACCCATCTATACAAGCGCGGAATGATATGAAATACCTAACAAAGCTCCCGATTTTTTGGTCAAACTCAAGGTTAATGTAACTGTTTGGGTTTTTTTGCATAACAGAATCGCTATACCACCTGAGCTGGTCAAAGGACGTAGCGTGATCCCCGTACACTTCGCCCTTTCTCAACACCCAACCATGCCACCCGGTAACTAATGTCCAAACCATACTCGTTTTTCAAATCAAACACAACATCAGTAGACACCAAATCAGACCCCGTACGAGGGTTCCTACAACTAGGTACAACAACCCCACAAGTATGCACACTATCAAAGCTCTTAACACATAACACCCCACTTGACGGTAACATCCTCGCATGAACTGACCACGAACAATCTGTTGACGCTGCAAACTTACACACTACTGTAATTCGAACAAAGTCATTTTTAATGTACTTGAATTGAAATCCACGTTCAACAACATAGTTACACAGAACTTCACGGAATTTAGTTGCTCCACCATCGAAACATTGTCCTACATGGGTAATACCATACGCCCATGGCGCCGACAAAAACATCTTCGATTTGTTCGGACAGTATGTTGGTAACAAGTTCATCTGTTTATCCATGCACCCATTTCGACTAACATCTCGTGAAATTCCCCCATCATCCGTGGAATCCAACACACCACAATTACCCTCCACACCAACACTACTTTCTTGAATGAGGACCTCAATGTGATTTATCCCAAACGACTTAGCAAGGCACAACATGTTTTGAATATCGTCGTCACTATCCACCTTAAACTTCTTATACTGGGGAAAATCAAAAAACAAACACACCGCACCTGGTACCAATCCATCGAACTTCTCACAAATATCATCAACAATCTTCACGAATGACGAATCCTGATGCAACCGAATAATAACATTTACTAAACCATACGAACACACCAGCAAAATCCCCCCGTCCATAGTTGTACACATTTGGAGAACCCATTACCGTTGCATCATACCCAGGAAACAACATAACAAAACAGTTTTCGTTTACATGCAATTGATATAACTACGCGAAGCCATCCCACTGACAGATCACAGAAAAATAGAAATTTTTGGATGAAAACCACACACCTATTTTCGATGCCTTAACCACAGCAGTGCCAACGCGGGAATACAACACCTTCAACTGTCCAATTATAGTGCGAAAAATAACAGTGGTCACTGGGAAAAGATGACGCCCACCACCGGAAAAAATGATGCTCACCATAATCTGTCTCCAGAAAAACAATGGTGAAAACAATGTTAATGAAGAAAAACAATGGTAATCAATAAGAAATGGTGGAAAACAATGTTAATCAATACAAAAACAAAGTTAATCAAAATACAGAACAATGAAATAATGTTAGTAAAAAAGAATGGTGGGCACCGTTTTCGGTTAGATCACAGAATTGGTGAAAACAATGTTAATCAATAAAAAAACATCCCCACAAAAACGTTGACATTACGAAACCCTATGGAAATCATAATCAAATGTTTAAGGCATCTACATTGAAAAAGGGTATTGATGTAAAAACAAATGGAATCAAATCACACCCCAAAAAATCTGGCAATAAATTAGGACTAAATGGTATACAAGAAAACTTAAAGGACTAAATGGTTTAACTATTTTCAGGATAGGATTTATGGGTAATTTTTCCAATAAATTAATGTCGCTATAGTAATTCTTCACGTATAAGAACAAACTAAATAGGTAATGATTGTATGATTTTATATCACCAATCTGCAATTGCCTGGTTGTTGATGGCCAAACAAAAGGAAAATATTCGGCTATGTGTGGTCAAATGAAGATCGTGAACGAGAGTGGAGGAACGTGGGGTTGCATTACTCCGGGGTGTTTTGGCAACACACTAAAAAAGCCAAAAGTCAGCTTTTAACCCATTTTGGGTCACATCACCTCTCACATAAAACAATGAAAAAGTCAAAAAAAATAAAAAAGTCAACTTTTAACTATCTTCCAAAAACACCCTTCTATATACTTGGGAAATGTGGTAGTATATTGTTGCATAGTGGGCAGTGGGTAAGGATGAATGAGAGAATAACATGGAGCTGAAGTTCGGAAAGTGAGAGAAGGAGAGATGGTGGAGCTGGTGGCTATGGCATTTTTGGAAGTTAAGGAATTTTTTTTTTTAATTTTTCTTTTTGATTTTTTGATTTTTTTTTTACAAATTTATCATGAACAATAATTTTACTTAAGAGTATAATTGTAATAAAAAATTTATTGGTGTCCAATGAATTGTTTAGGGTGCATTTAGAAGCTCCATTCTGGTAAGTACATAGTAATTGGGCCAATTATTTTTAGAAAAAATAGTTAAAAAGTCCAAATTCAGGAACGTATAAGACATTAGGTCTAGTGAATATTTTTTAATGGTGAGATGTCAACTTTTTTTGAAATATTGGTGAGAAATCTTTTTGTTTGTTTTGAAGAACATTTTGTTTCTAATTTTACCCCTTAATTTATCTGTTAATTTTTTTATCTGTTGACTTTTTTGACTATCTGTTCAATTTTTTTTTTGTCTGTTCAATTTTTTTTTTATTTATAAAATTTATATCTATTTGTTCAAATCTTTGACTATTTGTTTAAATTTTTCTTCTTATCTATTCAAAATTTTCCTTTATCTATTCAAATATATGTCCAAATTTTATTATTTGCTTAAATTTTTTTGCTTATTTGTTTAAATCTATATGTTAAATTTTTACTCCTAGATCCCTTCTCTCTCTCCTCTCATCTCCCTTATCTGTTCCAGTTCTTTGAATGTCTAGCCAAAGAAAAAGATTTCAACTCTTTCTGTACTACACTCTCTTTCAAACCCAACAAAAAATCCAATTTCATCCAAAACACCATACATATTTCTACAACAAATATTTTTTTTTTAAAAATAACAATTAAATTAACACAACAAAACAACAACAATAATCAAGAACAATAAGATCTACAAAAAAAAAAAAAAAAAAAAAAAAAAAAAAAAGGGACATTTTAGTAATTTCAACACATGAGGAGTTTAAAAAAACCAGTAAAACAGTCAACAGGTTTGATGAGTGAGTGATATATATATATATATATAGAGAGAGAGAGAGAGAGAGAGAGAGAGGGAGGGAGAGAGTCACAACAAGAGGGCTGAACTAGAAGCTATTCACCTTCCAAAGAACACTCACTTTTTCTCTCATCATGTCGTCAAACACTAAGGTTTTTGCTTTCTTAGCTAGCTCTCCCACTAGCACCTCTATGAAGTGAGTTGACACTCACAACGAAAGCTTCCACTACGACGAAAATAGCTATTTGCAACACAAATTCATTCACTTATGGTTTATGAAATTAAATAAAAAGCAATTGAAAATCTAATTCTCTGTTTTGTGATAAATTAGAATCAAAATGACAAAAAACATGCAATTAAAAAAATAAAACTTAGGTAGGTAATGAGATGGAGACCTTCTGAACTAGAAAACTTGCTTGTTTTGAGGCATAAAGATGTTTGCATCCAGTATGTTTTCCATCTTTTGAAGCTATACATTTCGATAACAGATCTGAGTACGCTCCATCGCCTTGTATAGATTTGAGTGTGGGCTTCTTTGCATCGTCGTGGCCAAAGTTTGTTGATGACGATGATGTGGTGACACCGTAACCCTCTAACAATGGCGGAGGAGTCAAAGCCACCTGGTACGTGGTTAGAAGTGACGCCAGCGACTAGGCTCTAGGTGAGATCGATGGTTGTGTGGTAGTGGGTCCGGTGGCAGTGAGGGAGAGAGGGAGAGAGAAAGGGAGAGCGAGAGAGAGAGAGAGAGAGAGAGAGAGAGAGAGAAACAAACCTTCTACGCCAGTGATGCCGTCGTATGGCAATGGTAGTCACAGAGAGAAAGAGAGAGAGAGAGAGAGAGAATCACAGAGACAAAATAAAGTAGAGGGGCATTTTGGTCATTTTGTAGGATATTATCCTTATGGACATAATGTTTTAGAGTGTGGACCTTTGGGCAAAGAAAATACTAATTTGGATTTATAGACCAAATGCCCTTATTTTTATTTGTTACTATTTTGGATAAATTTTAATGACACCCCTTCAATACTTTTGAAATCGCATTGAACCCCTTTATTCTCTAACCATGTCAACTAACATCGTTGTAATGTTAAAAATACTAAAGTACCCTTGTTTTAATTAATTAATTTTATTCTTTAATTAGTGATACAATAATATAGAGTTAAAAAGAAAAGAACAAATACGAAACCAAAAAAAAAAAAAACCATAAGATTGAGAGAAAGAAAAGTCTGGCCACAACTCACCATCCACAACCATCACTTCCCTCCCATGCCCATCTCTTCCACCACCACCACTACCACCACCATACCTGCCCACACACTCACATCCTCACTTATCTTTATCACCAACTCTCTTGAAGACAATTTTCATTACACTAACACCGTTGTGATTGACACACTAACGGTGCCACAGTAAGACAAAGCTACCAGAGGGAGGTGCTATTTTAACCAAAAAAGAAAAAGAAAAAAAGAATCTACCTCCATCAATCCTACATCGGAAAACGCATCCATCTTACGATGGATGAATGAAATTAAACCCCAGCCACTACATGTTCCCTCTTATAGCCGTTGGTATTGTGTTTGTAGCAATGGATCAATTTTTGCATGTCAAATATTCAACGAAATGTTTACATATTCCAACAATGTTGAAGGGTTTAGGGGTTAGACAAATCTAACTAAGTGTTCGATGTATACCTAGTGTTCGACATCATGAATATATACTGAGGTCTCATTTTATCAATATTCACTATTTTTCTCCAACCAACTAAATCCACAACTACTTCCATCTAAAATCCCTCCCAATTCCATTATCTTTATTCCACTCACATTTTGTAATGCCCCTAAATTTATAATCCTTTATATAATCAATTTTATTAAATATTCACCGGATACCATCAAATGAATCCATTTGCTCATAAGAAAACGCATTAAGGAAAATATTTCCTTTCATTAAATATAACACTTTCTAATTTAATTCTCATAAGAGCTTACATTTATATACTATGCCTGCAAGATTTAAGAATTTAACAATATATATGAAATTTGCAAAATAAGAGAAAATACAACAAAATGCCCTATGGGCTTACACATTTCAAGGCGACTTTGATTACAAATAAGTGGAATACTTTTCCAAACAAGTAAGCTCGGTAGCTGTAATCACATAAACATCCAAGGAACCTTAGTACTCCATCAAAAGTCTCCACAAGATCACCAGTGGAGTGGAATCACATCATCAAGACTTGAAAGTTTTGTTAGATTGGGGTGAGCTAGTGCCAAATAGAATACCATTAACAGGGTAAAAAATGATTGAAATGCATGTGCTCATGCTATGCACATGCCATGATAAAATTCATGTTTTTCTCTTTTAAGAAAATCAATGATGTTTAATGCACAATTTCCATTCGAAAACCCATCATCAATAACGGGGCGGTAAATACGTAATCAATAACTAGGCCGTAAATACGTAATGACGTCCTAAGCAAGAGCCGCAAAATCATACATACATAAATATAGATTTGCATACTAAAAATATCCCCACATTTGTTGACTCCAAAAACAACGGGGAGATAGACACCTAAAAACCTTTTTCCCTTCCACATTCGCTGACTTTAAAAACAGCGAGGCTAGTGGACACCCAAAAACATTGTTTTTCCACATTTGCCGACTCCTGAAACATCTTTTGCACCGACCATTTGTCATACATGTTGATTGTTGATTGTACATTCCACATGGATCATATCATGTGTTTTAGAACTGCACTGTATAATGCAGGCTCCAATCTCTTGTCTGGAAATTTAGCTCTGACAATGTTATCATAATCGTCAGGAGTATGCAACTTGTCATTTTCATCTAAGATAATAACCATGTAGGCATGTGTCACGACCCA